GGTCAGCGCGTGGGGGGTGAGCCCGCCTGTGAGCTAGGCTGGGTCGCAGGGTCAGGGCGTGCGAGGCGAGCCCGCGTGTGAGCTAGGCTGGGTCGCAGGGTCAGGGCGTGCGAGGCGAGCCCGCGTGTGAGCTAGGCTGGGTTACGGGACACCCAGATATTTGGCTAAAAACGTTCCTCAATTCTGGTGAATCCATGAAGGTGCTTTGAAGTGAGACTGGTATTAGAACTGGAGGGTGGAGGAACGGAGACGGTCCTTCCCAGTGGGGGTCTCCTCCCACTCGTGAGCAGAGTGGGGTGTGGAGAGCAAGCTCGCAGGCTCTCCCCTGGCTGCACGCTGGAGCATGGTCTCCTGCCCTCATCCCTCCTGTCTTCCTGGTCAGGCGGAGGGCGAGGCTCAGCCTACACACATGTAAGCCAACTTCCTACATCAGGTCTACTTATATCTGTGAGTGTGCGTGTGTACACACATGTACTTGCATGTGTGAGGGGGCTTCAAAACGTTTCTGGAAAAGGGAATTAATGCATGAGTTTATTTTGGTGCAAAGCATTTTGAAATCCATGCATAGTTTTGTTTTTATAATATGCATTTTCCAGGAACCTCTGGAAGACCCTTCATGCAAGTATGTAAGGGCACATGTGTGTAACTCATGCATGTGTGTAACAGAATATGTGTAGCTCATGCATGTGTGTTACAGGACATGTGTACCATGTCGGTTCTGCAGGAACTTGGGTGAACACGTGGCTTCCAGGGCAGATGGCGAATTGCCCTAAGAGCACAGAAGCTTCCCAGAACTATGAAGCCGGCTCAGGCCAGTGTCGCTGTGGGGCACACCGGCTCCTCCTCACGGTAAGGGTGTCATTAGCCGACCGTGTGCCCTGCTGTCTTAGAAGCGTAGGCGCTCAGGCCGTGCTAGGAGTAGGCCGTACCGACCTCTTGGAGCAGGCTGGGCAATAAGCCAAGACCCCCATGGGGGCCTGCAGGTGGCATGGTGGTTAAGGCATTTGGATTCCTACATGGACAATCTCTGTTTGAGTCCCAGACCCAGTGGTTTCGAGAATCACTGTGGATGCTCTTACGTTTATGCCCAAAATCCTGAGAGGAGAGTGTATTCCCTCTCTGTCTCTCTTCTCTCTGGCGAGCGTGCAGGCCTTAGGGCAAAAACCTAAATAAAAAAAGAATAAAAGAAAAGAACTTCCCTGTCAGAGTTCCCACTAGCTAGTGGGAGCGCGGGTTATGAGAGGCAGGAGCCTCGCTGAGGCTGTGGGGCTGACAAGCATCGGAGCCCCATTTCCAGCCCCTGTGGGTGGACTTGAGACCTTGGCCCCTTCCACTGCTCCCCAAGGCGGGAGCCAAGGTCTTCTAGCACAGTTAGGCCCTCGCGTTTCTGTGAATTTGGTCCGTCTTATCCCTGAATATCTGGCTAGGTCTCTTCACACCTCAGCCAGCGCGTGGCACACGGCCCTCAGCACAGAGCGGGGCATTATGAGCACGGGGACGCTGCTGACTGTGGGGTCCTGGTAAGCTATGCCGAGTGCTGGCTGGCCCAGGCGGCCACGGTGGCAGACCAAGCCGCTCAGCTCTGAGTGCCACACAGACCGGGGACAGGGACCAGAGGGAAGCAGGTCCTCACGGTCCTGGAGGCTGGGGGACAAGACCAAGGAGCGGCAAAGTCACTTTCTTCTGCTGCTGGCTCCTCCTCCGTGCCCGCACGGCCATCCCTCTGTGTGCGTCTGTGTCCCAGTTTCCTCCTCTTGTAAGGACACCAGCCACACTGGCCCGGGGCCCACCTTAGTGACCCCACTTAACCTTCATTCTCTCCAAAGGCCTCATCTCCAACACAGACGTACCCTGGGCTCTGGGGGTCAGCAAGCAACTTTCGAATCGGGGTCGCGGCTCAGCCACAGCAAAGCCTGTGCAGGTTTTCAGAACAGCGGCTCATGGTGCTGTCACTTCTGCAATCTGTCTCTGCTCGTCTTCCAGGGCAGTCATTGGAGAGAGGAAAACATCTCTTCCACCGTGGGGCCACCTTAGGCTTGAGCACAGTGGCACGTAGCCACTAACAGGGCCTGAACAGGCAGTGGTGCCCACGGCCCTGCGCTGAGCAGGTCCCTGGGACGGTGGAGACAGTGGAGTGCGCCATTGCCCCGGGCACCAGGAGTGCTGAGGGGCTGCGCCCATGTCACCCATCCCCGGGGTGCCAGGGGACTGCGCCCACTGTCACCCATCCCCAGGAGTTCTGGGAAGCTGTGCCCACTCACCCATCCCCAGGAGTTCCGGGGGGCTGTGCCCACTGTCACCCATCCCCAGGGGTGCCGGGGCACTGTGCCCACTCACCCATCCCCAGGGGTTCCGGGGCGCTGTGCCCACTGTCACCCATCCCCAGGGGTGCCGGGGCACTGTGCCCACTCACCCATCCCCAGGGGTTCCGGGGCGCTGTGCCCACTGTCACCCATCCCCAGGGGTGCCGGGGCACTGTGCCCACTCACCCATCCCCAGGGGTTCCGGGGCGCTGTGCCCACTGTCACCCATCCCCAGGGGTGCCGGGGCACTGTGCCCACTCACCCATCCGCAGGCCATGCTTCCAATTCCTGCTCCTTGGCTGCTCTGCAGGGACTGCAGCCCGCCTGCACGCCCCCTTCCCTGCTCGCTGCTCAGCAGGCACAGCCCAGCCACAGGGGGACATGGGGCTGGG